TTCATGTAGCAAATTAGCCCTGAAGAATCTTCAAACATTAGGAATGCTTGAACAAAAAAAAAAGAGAAAGATCATCTGAAAATTCAGACGCAATAATATAAAAGGGTGAACAGATCATAGAAAAGGAGAAAATAAATGGTAGGCAACAATGTAAATTCAGCAAAGACATTTTTGAACATAGGGGAATTATCCCACTTTCTAGACAGCACTCCATTGTTACTGAAGAATTGATACTAAGAAGTGCATACCAATCCATTCAAGTTCTTTATGTTATTTCTTCCCAAAGACAGAATCCTCAAATTTTCTGTAAGATAAAATAAAGGGGTTTGTTAATAAATATGAGGGCATTTTTAAATACAAGAAGATGCCATATTTTACTTACAAACAAACTCACTTTGAACAGCTTGTCTTAAGAAAGAATAACGTAACAGAAACAAAACCTCCTGACCTACACAGATCATCAGGAGCAGATGCAGTGAACAGCTCAGAAACATGCTCACAAATACAGAGCTGTTCATGTGTAAGTTACTTAGTTGAAATTCAGTCCAGATAAATAGTAAATAAAAATTATTATCTCACCTTGCACCTGAACTCTAACTGCTAACTTGTTAGTTTTGATGCTACACAGTTCATACTCCTTCTTCTCCAGGCAAAAATTGTTCTAATCTTAAGGCAGCAGATTCAAGTTCTGTAATGAAGGCAGCATACAAAGCTACCTTAGAGAAGTCTGATGAGAGGCTTTTCAACTTGTTCTAGCACCCAGATAAAACTCCTTTCCAAGTGAACTGTTCTTGCTGGGGTTTAGTGTAACACTAATCTAACTCAAAGCTAATACAAAATAGTCTTTTTGTATAGATCATGTTCATCCTTCTAACAAGCTTTCTTGCAGCTGTAAATAAGCAAACTGAGTCACAGCATGCAGCTGGGTTAACTCTGGATCTATACCTTTCATTAAGGTTTTAACACTTCTGTGTAACTGCATTAAGGATGAAATAATAATCTTGTTTTGCTGTTATATGCATAATGATTGAAAACGCGTGGTACAATGATTCATGACAAGGCTGATGAAAGTCTCAGCCAAATAGCAACAGATAGTCCATACAGCACATGTAGTGACTAGAGACTGCTACAGACAGAGATTACAGGCTGATCTAGAACAGATAGTTGTATGTCCTGTCTCAAAAAAAGCAGGCATGAAACCACACCTGATAAAACCACACCTGGCAAATATTCTAAAACAGGAAGATTAGTTGTCATTAAAGAGTTGATTCACATTAATAATTCTTTTTTGTTTGAAACACAATAGCTTAATACATGACCATGCTCAAAAAATGAAGAATCATAATCAGTAAGTCTACTTTAATCAGTTAGCCTACTATAGCTAATATTCTTCAGAATATATCCCTAAGGATCCCCATCCACAGGCTCTGGCCTTTTGCTCTAGCTAGCTATTCTCTCTGGAGCTCACATTTATAAACTATATATTTGCACTAGCTTCTGAAATTTGTAAGAAATGAAAGGACCCTTACAACTACAAAAATGAAAGACTGCTTAAAAAGCCATGCCTTAAAACTGTTTCAAACTGCTGTCACTGGTTTTTATTACTCTTGTTCTGAGATATTTTATATTTTAAAGGAAGAAAGATCTCCCTCCTGTAACATTTACACTCTCTAAAACACAGAACTAACACTTACTGCTTTCATCTGAAACATTATTATTCACATGTATGGATACACGGGTGGGATCATTTGTGCAGATGCTGGAGGGACTTTTCATCAGGGATAGGACAAGGGGTAATGGGTTTAAACTTAAACAGGGGAAGTTCACCTTAGGTATAAGGAAGAACCTTTTTACTGTGAGGGTGGTGAGGCACTGGCACAGGTTGCCCGAAGTGGTGGTAAATGCTCCATGCCTGGCAGTGTTCAAGGCCAGCCTGGACAGAGCCTTGGGTGACATGGTCTTCTGTGAGGTGCCCCTGCCCAGGGCGGGGGGTGGGGTTGGAAACAGATGATTTTAAGGTCCTTTCCAACAGTAACCATTCTATGATTACTCAACATAATTACAATATCAGGTATACATAGCAACAATAATCTTTTCTGTAAAAACAGTGTAGATGTTTAAAAAGATTCCTCAGCTTTCTCTCTGTATTAAGCAAAGGCAATTATACAATAACTAGTGGCTTGTTTTTCATGGCTCAGTGCTGCTTTCTCTCTCCTTCACTGAAGCCAAAAGAGACAGTGAGTTCTCCCTATTCTATACCTTTAAGAGATGGACCACGTGGTTCTAGTTTGCTTGACTCAATAACCCAGCAAATTTCAAGGTTTCATATCCAGCTGCCCAAGAAATAAAAAGTTCAGGTCCACAGAAGAGATGGCACACCCCTTTCAAGTATGAACAAAATCAAACCAAGTATATCTGATCCTCTGCAAAGTAGAATGACATCCTTCCATCCAAGCTTACAACACTGCAACCTCATTCCAACCAATACCACAATTCCAGAGTTGTTGAACTGCAAACCACCTCTATCATGAGCACAGAAATTGGTCATTAAATCACTCTAGAACTGATGAGATGCTGAGCATCACAACTAGCCCACTGGAGGGTACAAAGGTGCTTTCTGAACAGATCTTGTTGTTGTCTGAACTTTATAAAGTATTTAATCTAGAAAGTTATCAGCCTAGGTTGTAAATAGGAAATCTGTCCTTTTCTGTATTCTCTGAAGTGTGAAATCCACTCCTTTTTAATGGCTAATCAGAAATGATTGGGTTTTTTTTTCTGATTCTTAACTCTGTAAATCTGTTGGGTTCTCCCCCCGTTGTATCACCTGCACAGTGAGACAACTGCCAAGGCCAGTGCAGGGATACATGCTTTAACATGTCTTTACTGCCAAACATGCACTCTCAAGTAAGACTGGTAATTTTAAAGGTCACGTCATTTTCTACGAGGAAGGAACAAAATAGGAGAATAGGTATAAAACCGGACACATATAACAAGTCATGGTGTATGTCCTATCCAAGCAATTAGAAAACAAAGATAATTAATCACTGGCTTGTCACTTACTTAGGTTGCTCAGGTTGGCGATTCTTTCAATGCAGTTTGTAGACAGCGATAGTTTCCTTTAAAAGCAAGAATAATCAACTCACAATATACAAGGGATCACTGTATCAAAAGAGTTCCATGTCCAAACACCACTGCATTAGAAATAATTGTCTATTCTTATCTCATTAGACGGTGAACTAACCAGATGTGTGAACAGATTTAAAATATCCTGAAACCATCAAGACGTTTGCAACTTTATTTCCAAGCTTCTGGGAAAGTAGTTACTTACAGGACATACTGGATTATCTGTGTGCCTAACCTTATCAAATGCATGGCTGTGTATTTTTGAACTGTCTCTAATCTCTTTTTGGAAGTCCCGCTGAAGTCTCCTTTCTTTCTGCATAAATTTTGGAATGAATCATCAATGTGCCAGTCAGCTGATAAGACTCCAAACATGGACATAAACAGTATGTAATGCTTCTGGAAACAAATATCAATACAGAATCTACCTTAACTTGTAGACAGGGATCTCTGAACTAAAAAAAGGAACTTTTTTTGTATGTAGAAAGACAAGCTCAGCTGAGGAAATAAAGGAGAGAGTTGCTGCTTTGAAGGCTACACTTAAATATAGTAAATACATATTTACACAGCGGACATCAGAAAAAATGGAAAATTCATATAAAGAGAATATTTGGTTTCCGACTTGTTTTTAACTGATCTTACTCGCAGTTAACAAGCATGGAGAGAGATTCATCCATCTTCTCTACAGGAGGAATCTGACCATACAGCTTCACCTCCTTTGCCTCTGAAGCCTTCTGGCCATTTTTTTCTTCCTAAAGAGAGAACGTAAAGAGGCTCAGTGCTACATGTAATTACTAAAAATTACTATACTAAAAAATTACTGTAAAAGTAATTACTATAGAAATAATGCCAATATAGTACTAAAAGATATTACTGGAAAGAGAAAGCATTTTTAATACCATTTATCAAGATTCCTGCTGGCATAGCATAAAAAGGGGAAGGCAGCTTCTTTTCAAGATATGAAAAGAACTTGCACATTACACATGCTTTTTTTGAAAGCTGTGTTATGCTGGAGCAATTTAATTTAGGGGTCCTAAGCTGTAAAGAAATGAAGAATAGATGGAGATCTAAAACTGGGAATAATGGTACTTCTATGGAGATGGATACACAGGAGCCTTGGCAAGGGCTGATCTCTAGCACAGATTCTTAAAAGCTTTGACAGAAAAATCACTCAGAAACTCAGAACTCAGACCTAACTCACAGCACAAACTGTGCGTTTTGGGGGAGAACCCCAACAGATTCACAGAGTTAAGAATCAGAAATAAAAAATGTATTTCTACTTCACCATTAAAGAGTGGATTTCACACTTTGGAGAATACAGCAAAAGACAGATTTCCTACTTACAACCTAGGGTAATAACTTTCTAGACTAAATACTTTATGAAGTTCAGAGCTTCCAAAAAAAAAAAAAAACAAACACCATAGCTTCAGTATTTGGGTTTATTAAAAACTAGTCTATTAAATTGTTTAAAATTGTGAAGCAATGGCAATTATTGACTCAACACTTGGAACAAGTATCTCCTGAGGTAGTGCCACCAGTTTTGACAGCTGCCTCCCTGACAGCACAAAGGGAGCATTTTGTCCAGTGTTCAGTGGGAGAACTGGAGGTCCATTAACAAAGGAGAAATCTATTCGGCGCTTTCAAAACAAGGGCTCTTGTTTTCCCCCCAACTTTGATGCAGCTACTGAAAAGCCAAAGCTGAGCTCTGGCCTGGTTTATACAGCTACTTTGCAATGAAATGCACTGCATTCCAGAAGTCTTTAAGAATCTCAGAGCACAAGAGAAGGTTTTGACATTACTGTCTCTCTTATGCACACAAAATACTTCGGGCAACTTAATAAAATAAAATAAAAAAAAAAGAAAAAAAAGAAGATATCAGCATGTTGGCTTGGGCATTTACTTGTATTCCAGTTTCTATCCAAATCTAGTGTGATAACACTTTTACTCAAAATTAACCATTTAGCGAATAAGCATGTCAGGTATTTTGCTACAGTATGGTGGATGCGTTCAAATGAAGTCACTTTATAAATGTGAAACTTCCATTTTCTTTTCTAAGAACAACACTGTATCTATTTGCATTTATACTCAGTTTATACCAACAACTAATTCTTTTTTTTCCTTAAAAACGTGAAAGGGAGAGAGCTTCCAATGCACTGTGGCCAGCAGTGAGCACTTGCAGGAGGAAACTTCATCCCAACTGCCACGTGCTTCTGGAAAAAAGGTCAGCTGAACAACCACAAAAAGGCACAGAGAAACCAGATAGAACAGACACTTCTTTAAGAACATGCTAAGTTAAAGTTGCTTTGGTTTAAAGTTAAAGTTGCTTTGATTTAACTAATGCCAAAGGGAAGAAAAACATCCGTAATGCAACACATCACCAGATCCAATTTTTCACATGGCCTCAGAAAGGAAGTTTTAGACCCATCCCCAGTAACATGATCAGAAAAGCAAATTCAGCACTTCATGCCTAACTGTAATGGAAACTCACTGGCACCAGTCTATTATCTCTAAGAGGCGTGACAGAGGAGCAAATGGAAAATAAATCTTTACTAGGAAACATGGAGTTGAAAAGGCAGAAAGAGTGAAAGGGAAAAAGCAGATTTTTAATACTGAGTTCACACCTCTAGTAATGTTAATGTCTGCAAGTTGTGGCATTCTAGTCCTTATGAGGAGAGCAGGAGTGAAGTCTGTGGGATATACAAACATAGCTGAAAAACCCCTGAAATACTGAGGGTACTAAACAATAAGCTGAATAGTCAAACCCCATGCCACAGCATACTGCAAAGCAGCTCAATACTGTTTCTACAACTTACCCATTTGGCTAGAGCTTCTCTGATAGTTGTTGCTTTCGCCTAAAAGATGAAAAAGAAAACGTAAATGAATATTCATTGCAAATTTTCAGTTGCCTTGTTCACTACTTCCTCTCCCTTCTCTCCCCATCCTGCCTGTCTACCCCTTCCCACCACCTTCCTGTATTACCTTCCTCCAGCTGGAACTCCTCAGGGCCCCATAATTTTATTTTCTGGACTACTTGATAGCATTTTCAGAAGCAACCAATTGGCTTCATGCAAGGACATTATCTTCCTGATTTCACTCTCTGCCCTGCCTGGAGCATGGGTTTGGGGTGCTGCTTGTTAGCTTTGATGGTGAAAGTCAATTCAATTCAATTCAATTCAATGGCATGAGAAACTACTGCACTGAAAAATGTGGTCTAATGCTCTTAAACTCCCACACTTTCTATTGCTGTGCATTAGCAACTTCCTGTCTGAAAGCAAATCTGTGGGTAGACAGAATGATACAGCCTCTCAAGATTCACTGAGGAAAATACCATACCTCTTGCCAATAGTCAAGAGCAATCTGGATTGTTTATTTGTTCTTCTTCGATCATTTGATGTCAAGTCATATTAATGTGATGCGAAAACATGTATTTCTCAGGACACAGCTGCTGCATAAGGCTTCTTAAGGACTGACCCACTGGCCAACTTTCTGTTACTACTATCTCCAACTTTTCTACCTCACACCAGCCTCATTAAAACCACATGATACCCAAAACAGTAGTATACCAAGAAACTCTGACATAACTTAAACATTAAACACATTCCAAGATGTCTTTTGGATTCAAAAGGTTTCAGAGACCAATCTCTCACAAAAAATGATCAACAGCCTCTCTTCTACAAACCCAAGAGGACTCTAGTTTGGGCATCCCTATTCTTAAGTATGGCACCACCGCATGCGGATAGGAGCAGCTTTTCAGGTCATCAGAGATCAAAGAAATGACTGTAAGAGTTAAAACCAACAAACTAAATTTCCACCCAAAATCTTACAATCACCTTGGCCATGGAGCTTTAGTGCTGGTCACTCAGCTCTAGACCACTGGGAACTCTGGATCCAGCAATAAAACACAACTGTTGAGGCAGCCGTGCTGATTAACAGATACCAGTGTGCCAGCAAACCCGGCGTGCTTACAGTAAATTGGGGTTTTTGGACAGGCACATCACAGCATTTTCCACAATTATGGCAGCCCACCATTACTGCCTTCAGGTGCATGATCTTGGTCACTCACGTTGAAGACAGACCAGTGCCTGCTTCTGTTTCAAACTGATGTCTAACACCAGACTGGATTCTATAGCTAATGATCCATGTGAGTACATGGAGTAGCTTCTTCCCTGACCTCTGCTGCCTTATCTCTCCCGTTGGTGGAAATATGAAGACCAGCACAGTGGGTTATGCAGAGAAAACGTACCAGGGATTTTGTTTGCTTTGAGGCATACTTAAAATGTCTGTAGATAAATCATAGTACCTCCTGTTAAGGGAGGCTACTGAGGGAAACCTCCTGCCGAGAAGCCTATTTTCAGGGTTTCTCTACCTGAACATTGATCAGTCTCCTCCAGGTATTTAGACTAAAATCACGTTACACGGTTTCCGTACGATGGCACCCCAGACTCCCTGCTACTTTGATCTATCCCTGAAATCCCCCATTTCCATGCACAGTAACAGCGCAAGACTCCCCGCCTCAGCCACCGCCCCGAGCGCTGGGTACCTCCTGGCCAGCCTATGCCGTGCCCGCTGCTCGGCGCCCGACACCTTCTCGTCAGAGCCGAGGTCCCGGAGGACTCCGCTCTCCGCTGCCGCTCCGGCAGCACCGGGGCGGCGGCGCCGCCACAGCCGGCCGCGGAAGCTGCTCAGGGGCAGCCCTGAGGGGACACCGCTCCCCCCCGTACCCTTCCGCCTCCCGCGCCGGGGTAGCAGCTCTGCTCCCACCCCATATGCCAGAGCAGGCCCCAGTCCCGGCCCGGCCGCCCCCCGCCAGCGCGGCACCGAGCGGACCCACCATCGCCACTGCTACCGTTACCGCGACGGTTGCTATGGAGCGGCCGCCTCCCGCGCATGCGCAGCGCCGCCGACACCGCGAGGCAGGGGAGACGAGCACGGAGGCAACGGCACCTGGCGACCATAGAGCTGCAACGCCACACAGAGCGTCCTACCCCGGAAGTCCCGTAAAAGTGGGTGGCCCGCGAGGCATTGTGGGACGTGCCTGGAGGTCTGTGGGGGGGCCAAAGGTAGTCCCGCAGGAGCCCCCTGGCGGTGCCGGGCGGACACACCTCCCGCCCTCGGAGTACCCGGGAACACGAGCTCCGGTGGCCAGAGACCTGCCAGACCCTGCCCCCAGCTCCTCCTGGCATCGCAGCGACTGCCTCTGGGAAAGGCGACAGGAGCTGCACCGGGTGAGGAATGCAACACAACATAACGTGGCTTGGGCTAAGGCGGGCACTAGGCACACAGTTCAGCATATGCACAACCTATGGAGTGTCTACATTGTAACTCTGGTCTCCAAGTGCACTGTAAATATACAAAATACTAGTGCAAAAGACCTTCTACAGGCACTTCTGTGATTTACTTTGTCCAGGAGCACCCTGACCCGTTCACAAAAGAATCTTCACAGTAAAATTACATCTCTTTTATTTTTCCTCCTTTGCTTAAAAAAATATCATTCAGCTTTCAAAACAAATGAACTGTTCAGAAACAAAAATATAACATCAAATTCTTGCTTTTTTATATAGTTTTACTTCTCTTTCAAATTGCATATATCTGACAACATCTAACACTGAATTATTTTAAAGGCTTGTGCTTTAGAAACAAAGTCCGAGGACTTTCAAGCTACCTGGTTTTTGGTTTATTAACAACATTTACTTCCTGAACCTCCAGCTCATAATTGTTCATGGCAACGGATATGCTGAGGTAGGACTGCAGTGTGGAGTCACAGATGGGTAACAAAACAAGGTTAGAGGGCGTGCTGCTCTACCACAATAAAACTGTTCTAACTACTGAAGATGCACCTGATGAAGCAGACCAAACAAATAAACCATTGGACAACCCTTTCCTCTATAGCTGCAGCTTGAATAAAAGGCAGGGTACTAACCATGGGTGACATTAACACGCACATCACTGCAGGCTGTGGTTCTGGACTTCCTGGGCTGCCAGTTCTAGTGGAGGTTCAAGCACCAGCCAGGACTCTGCAAACGCCTCTTCAGCCAGTGGGGGAGTTTGGAGAGACTGGGTGTAAAGACATTTTGTGCGGAGTGAGCAGGATGGAACTTCTCTTGTAAGAAGTGGGTGGATAAATTGTTCAACTGGCAGCGATGGTGTCTGGAGAACATGTGACTTCAATCAAATGATAAGGAGTAATAAGAGTTGCAGAAAGTTAATGAGACCTGAACAGCAGCATAATGACAGTTAACTGGAGAGAAAAGATCCCTGAGAGCAAAGCAGAACTGAGTACCACAGATGAAGGTTTTGTATCTTCCTGGATTCCTACAAATCCCTTTCTTTTTGGATTTACACTTGTACCTAAGTAGTCATTTGGTTATTTCACATTTCAAAGCCTTTATCAGATGAAGGTTTTATATCTTCCTCTCAAACTGGTCTGACAAAATAACCTTGGAAGGAGAAACTGTACTGACAGAGGCCCTTCTTAAACAGGCCTTCAATGCTGGCACCCCTCCAGTGAGACCCCTGTGAGAGATCAATTCATTTGGGAGTAAGTTGCTTCTTTCTGCCTAAATGGTGGGGAAAAATCAGGCACTAGCCAAAAATTCATTAGGATTAAAAATCTCACCCTCAGCAATCTCAGGCAGTCATAGAAAAGATATCCTGGGTTTGCTTGTTTTGGAGGCAGGGTTTGGGGTGGGGGAAGGGATGATGCAGACAGAGGAGTGTATCGGTTTGTGGTTTTAAGTATTATAAGTTAATCATTGCCATAAGGTGACAGCTTTTTACAGTCTTAAATCTTCTATTAACTAGGTTTTCTGTCTCTCAACTCCACTTCCTTCCTAAGAACAACTGTCATCATCCATTGACATCATATAATGAGTCCCACAAGTAATTAATCCCTAACTTAATGACAGGTGCTATTAGTTTGAAACAAGCAATGAGGAGAGATTTAAGACCTGCACGCAGCATAACTAATTTAACCATGCTTTAACCTATCCAACAGCATTTGAATACTGAGCGTCAAACGCCAGTCCAAGACATAAGAGGAACAGATGGTTACATCCCTAATCCAAGACAGTGCTAGTGTTGCCATTGTCCCTGGATGACAGAAGTTCTCTTCATTTTCCCACACTAGAGTTTTTGTTGGAAAGAGATGGTGTCACCAGAAGACTACTACCTAAGGTCAAGGTATACGAGCCTCCTTACAAACAGATATCCCCAGCTTCATGTATATAGGGAACATTTCCCAAGTGTATATGGCCGTAATGTGGGAGATCTGGGCTAAGATAACTTAAGACCAAAAGCCAGAATCATTCATCATTTTGATGGCAAAGTTTATCATTCATTGCCATCATTTCTGAGGTGTGATCCAGTCTGTAATTGCTGAGAGTGTAGGCTAACTGTTAAATTCCAAGTCATAAATACTGCAAGCAAAAAAGTACGTACTACTCTCTTCAGGTACTTGTTACTTGACATCATGACCAATTCAGGCTGTCTAATTTGTACTACAGTGCAGTCAATTTATCATTGTTTCACTTCACCTCTGTGTACCCAGTTAAAATAACTTAAACTAGCCCAAAGAAATACCTTTCTTTTTGGATTTATGCTTGTAGCTAAGTAGTCATTTGGTTATTTCACATTTCAAAGCTTTTCTCAGTCAGTCCCTCCAATTCACCAGTCATTTTGTTGGCTCAAGCTCAGTCCTCTGCAGTTCTGCCACAGTTTGCAGGTGGTTAAGTGTTCATCCCAAATGCAAGTGCAGAAACTCCTGAATCTTCCCCCAAGAGTGTTCCTGTGCATGGGCATGTGCTTTGCTCTCTCCACCCCCCAGAACAGGCACGCCCAGAACACGATCCATAGCTACTTGACAAAATGGAGTAGAAGGAGGATCAA